CTATCATCTATCTATCTATCATCTATCTATCTATCTATCTATCTATCTATCTATCTATCTATCTATCTATCTATCTATCTATCTATCATCTATCTATCTCTATATCTATCTCCCTGTCTTTTTAGGAAAACACGGATAGGTGCATGAAGAAAAGTATATGTATAATGTACTTCCTTACTCTAATAAAAAAAGACTATCCCCTAATTGTTAATAGGCTCACTGTTTATTGAGTGCTGGGTGGAAATAGTTGTAATAGGTTCTGAAACCCAGTGTTTTGCTGAAAAATTAATATTTATTTCCCTTCTAGTTTTAGTAAGATGTAGCAGGTAAATTTGATGTCCATGTTTGTAGATTGCAGAACTACCAGAAGCGAGAAACCAACTGAATTACCACTAGCTGTTGCAATTACTACTAATAGTAGTACTTTTCTTTCTCCTTTATATATATATTAAAATTAATTATAATGATTTGGTCAACATTTTCTATTAATCAGCTTTTAAGACTTGCAGGAAGTAAAATGTCTTAAAGGAAAACCGATTCTCTGCTTCTTCATAAAATGACCAAGGTTTTAACATAGAATGAACAATGCAACCATGTTTTAAAAAAAGCAAAAATAATTGCTGGCAAGCTATAATGGGGTTAATCAAAGGATACAAAAGAGCAACTTTCCAAATTGAGAATTTCAATGTATTTTATCAAGAAAGCTTATATTATGTTGGCTTGCAGACCACTTAATGTTTGCAGTCATTGTTTTGTATCAGTGGCTGAGCTCATTACATTTAAGATTATCCATTTCCCACTCCTGCTGTCTAGGGAAGTCCAGCATTCTCCATTTTGACAAGACATTTTACAATACATTTGCTCTTGCCATATGCACGCTGTTACCCAAGTCACCTACTCCTGGTTTACCTAGGAATTCCTATTAAATTCAGTGGGGCTTATTTGGGAGAAGAGAGGGAAATCACAGCTGGGTTTTTCTATAGACATGTGTAACTGACTGCTTTGGAGTTTAATATGGAAAGAGAATTACCAGCTGAACCACAATGTAAAGTATTTAATCACAACTCTGCTTCCCATACCTTGTCCTCTTCCTGCCCTCTGCAGCATAACAACCTACATGCTTTTATATTGTTTCTCAAAACATTATGTTATGTTTATAAAAATGTTTTTGAAAATATTGAGGTGTATCAGAAATTTGGGAAGATTCTTTAATGGAGGAAAAACTTGATAACAAAGATAGCTTATCTACCACTATTGCTCTTTTTATCTTGTCACCAATGAAATATTTCATGTTTTTGAAGTCTTTTCATCAACCATTCAATTCAAATGATCATTTCAAAGGTAATCTTGAATGGTATTACTAATTATTAATTAATAGCAAGAGCACTTAGACTTATATACTGCTTCACAGTGGTTTACAGCCCTCTAAGCAGTTTACAGTGTCAGCATATTTGCCTCCAACAAATCTGGGTCCTCATTTTATGCATCTCAGAAGGATGAAAGGCTGAGTCCACCTTAAGCGGGTCAGGATCGAACTGTTGACAGCAGTCAATCAGCAGAAGTAGCCTGCAGTACTACATTCTAACTACTGCGCCACCACGGCTCATGCACTAAAACAGCTGTAAATGATATTAGACTCCACTTCTAAATTGTTATTAGACATGTTCCCACATGTAAAACTTTTTTTAAATTGTGTTCAATTCTTGGAGGCTGCGTATAAAAGTCCCTATGGTTTTCTTGGCAAGGTATTTCAGAAATGGTTTGTTATTGCCTCTTTCCTAGGAGTGAGAGAAAGTCATAGTCTCACGGTTTCTAGTCTGATGCCTTAAAATCACCAAATGGTCTTTCTCACACAAACTACTCTCTTACAAAAAGATATTAATTCATATCTTCCTCTTTCCCCTCTTCCTTCAAGCAGAAAGGAAGGAAGGAAAGAAAGGAAGACTAAGAAAAAGTAAAGCAGCTTTTGTCTTCCCTGACTACCTCACATGGTCCCTCAAGATAGAGGTGGTCAATACATTTTATGAATAAATAAATAAATAAATAAATAAATAAATAAATAAATAAATAAATAAATAAATAAATAAATAAATAAATATCAACCACAAGCTTCACCTTCTACCTGTTTTCTAACCTGCTCCCTTCCACTTTCCTCTTCACAGCTAAGGGAGGAGGTGAGGAATTGTCTTCTCATCAGTATTACCCAACCAACAATCAGTACAATGCACAATACCAAGGGCAAAAGTTCATACAATCTCCATTTAAGAAAAACAACTAGCTAAAAATAAGTTCTGATGCAAAACAAGAAAATGCTTACATATAAGGTATAGATGGCAGAACCTCTTAAATTATGCTTTAGAAATAAATAAATAAGACTGATGAAATATCCTGAAGTGGACTGTCTGATGGATTTTGCATAACATTGCACACTTTTTCTGGCTCTCTTCAGTTTCACACAAGAGTCAAATTCAGGTCAGGCTGAAGAAATTCCAGATAAATATTAAGCAATGGCTACAGTCTGAGAAGGCAGGAGGCTTGAAGACAAATATATACTAGCACAATGATAATACCCTACTTAGGGGTGGTTGGGTTTTATTCTTCTGATGTACACATTGTACTCACATTCAGTTTTTATGTAAATTGCTGGGACATAGTATTAAAAATCTCAAATTCAATCTCATGGATTTGTGGATTATATTTGTAGATTAGAAAACTAAAAAGTGGAACAAAAAGAAGACTCAATCTATCATGTTCATAATTTATTAAATCCCGTGCTTTCAAAACAACCTGACAAACATAAATTTAATTGCAAAACTTTTCTTGACAAAATTACAGTTGATAGATTTCAGCTGCTGAACTTCTGCATGTCAGTACAATGAATGGTGTGACTTGGGCTGTGATGGTTCATCCTGAGTTAAGATGAAGTTCAATAAAGACAAGAAGAAGACACCATTAGAAGGTCTTTAAAGAACTGGGCTGCTGTAAAATGAACTAAACAAGATCTTGAATTATAAATATTTTTTAAATAAACTATCTTCCAGATGTTGCTCCCTAGGAAACATGCTTAGAAATTATACCAAAAATATTTGCTTTTGTTTGACGAATTCTCTGTGGATTTTGAATGTAATGAACAATAAATGCATTAGACTGGAAAAAGAAAGGACATTTAAAGTTACTAATACAAAAAATGTTCCTGTCCTTATTTGCAAGAAACCATTGACCAAGTAGCACAAAACCTTTAGCAAAATAAGACATCTGTGCTGAAAGTATATATGTTTGCAAACACTTGATCTTGTAGAAAATATGTCATTGGTGAATTTTCAGTCTCCTTATAATGTACCTTTTGTAGCTTAACAAGAAAGTAATACTGCAACAATAATGGGAAAAAATACCATCCTAGATGCTGCCTGACCTACTATCTTTCAAAGAGCTGGCAGTTGAGTTCCCCAGGCTTATGGTTCTGGGGGATTTCAATTTGCCTTCGCTTGGTGAACACTCTGATGGAGCGCAGGAGTTCATGGCTTCCATGACAGCCATGGGCTTGACCCANGGTGTGTCTTATAGTCCGAAAAATACAGTACTTGTATATAGCTTGTCTCCAACTGAAAAAGTTTATATTTTCTTGCAAAAAAATCCCATAATTTACCATTAATATGCCTTCCCAATACATTCAAAATGATTTTGCAGAATGGCATTTTTACAGTATCCTATTGTACAACCAGAATCCAAGCAAAGTATAGAACATAGAATTGTAGATATTTATAGGATTAAAAACAAATATTTCAATGAATTCCTTATGGGTTTTTTTCACCCTTATCTTACAGCTGAAAGTAATGATGGTTACCATATTATTCTGAAATGACCCACTTCTCTGTATATTTGGTCTTGGATCAGCTGCACAGCACGACGTCTCATTCTCCTTCCTGCAACTCAGCCTGTAAAGATAGAAAATCCATTGGATAAAACACTCTTATTAACCAAACGCCCTAACAAGAAATTAAAATGTGTATTTGGGAGACCTGAGGACCACATAATGCCTTTGCTTTGTTCCTGATCTAGTGATATTTTGATTCAAGTGCCTTGTTCAGAAAGTATTGAAATAAGCAGATGAAATAAGCTGGTACAATAAACCACCAGGTTTTGGAATTCATCTTGGATGTGAATTTGAAATTAACTGGGCTTATTCTATTGTCTCCTCTCTTTCCAGACAGTTAGAGGAAATTAATTGTAGGTTTTTATAACTGATTTGTACTAAAACAGTATTTTTTAATACTGCTTTGGCAACTTGAAGATATGTGGGCTTCAGCTGTCAAAATTCCCCATATCATCAAATTGCCAAAGTTCACAAACACTACTTCAGAGCAAAGGAATTATGTTCTAAGCTCATCATGAGAAATATTTTCTGCACTGTTCATATTAACAAAGGTTTCCTTTTTCCTTTTTCCCTGATCTTTTATACCTCCAGTTTCCATTTTTAAACTTTTAATTCATTTCTTTTGTACGGGCTTCAGACTTCCAACTAAAACCAGGACAAATAGGGTCAGATCTCACTTGCAACTGAATGATGTCCCTCCTTGTAGCTAGCTTATGTTATATCATACAACGTGATCATCATAAACTTCAGGTTTATTGCATAGATGAAAGGGGCTGATTCTTGAGTGGAAAAATGGGAGATTGCAAATTTGACTTTCCCACCATTATAGCTAAGAGAACTACAAAACCCTCATGGAACTGGGTGAAATTTGACTTTGAAAGACAATAAAAATGGTTACATGTGTACATAGCCTGTTGTTAAAAAAAAACCTAGCCGTACTCAAGGCTGCACATTAAGCTTTACTTTTAAGCCAGTGATATGTTCAAGAATAATGTAGTTTTTTTTTTGCAAATGTAGTAAAATGGTTCAATTCACTGCATAGGTAGAAAGCTATAAGTATAATCAGGAATATCTGACTTTTGTGCCTTGGACTTATAGCAAAACTCTTATTTCTGTGGTTAGTCCATAGCTCTGGTGGTGATTCCATCTCAAAACTTTAAAGAGACTGTTGTTGGATTTGCCAGCAACTGTTTTTTTCATGCTTTCTAATGTGGAAGTGTAACCTACAGGAATGTACATGCTTTATATGTTAAAGTTCCTTCCACAAGTAGCGTGGACTTTCACATCTCTAACCTTTAGTGTGAGGAGAAGCAGATTTTTACCGTACATTGCTCCCACTTCTCTTACATATTGCATAGAGATGCATAGAAATCACATTAAACTGGATAGACACATGTCTAATATTATATGCTTTATATGCATTTAAGACAGACCTTTGTGCCCTGATCAATTGAATGGGGGAGGTGCGCAGAAGTACCTTTTGTACAAAATTGCCTGTTGGATTAGAAACATACATAAAGAAAGCTAATGTACATCTATCTCCCACATGATTGTATGATAGGTCGTGGATTTGCACACAAAGGTAGACAACACTGGTTGAGGTGGTAGATTATATCCAGCTGCATCATGCAACATTTGATTGATATCTGTTGAGTGAGTACTCATGGCCAGAATCTTCATATGTGTAGAGTTAACTTCTTAGACCGGAATCTTGATTTATATATATATATATATATATATTTGCCTTCATCAAGCTCTTGAAATAAAGCAAAATATTGGACTATTATGCTCCCCAAACAGTTCTGATGGAAACATATCATGGCACAATACAGCTTTGGTTCAAAGTTGCCTTTAGCACATTCTTAACTGTGTGTTGCATTTCACAGAAGTATAAATTCTGTGCTCTTGATAATTGTCTTTTTTAACTTCCTGAAATGAACAGCCTTCATAGCAGGTTATAGCTATTCCCCCCAAAAAAAGAATGGAGAAAGCTTGTTATTTCAGATTAAAAAGTGTAAACCATTTGAGTCAGTAGCAACATGTTTTTCTGCCTTAAGTCTTCATGTTAATTCTTGTAATCCAATAAGGAAGCTGATTGAGGTTTATAAAATAGTGCTAATCCTTGAATGCTACAAAATACCTCTAGACTAGAGGGGCCCAGTCTTTCTGAGCTGAGGACGTATTTGGAAGACTGAAAGTCCTTCACCAAATGAACATGCTCCCATTCACAAGTAAATGCCTCTTGTGATCAGTATGCCCAGTTCTGTGTGGTCTGGATGCACTTTACAGTGGAAATAAAGAAACTGTTGGAAATGGTTAAGCAGCATGCCAACTTTCCATTTAAAATTTAAACCTGTAAACAAAGTTTGGGATGGCAGGGTCCAAGGGATAGGATTTTGAGAAATTACTGCCAGAAAATTGTATTATCTTGCTGTATCTACAGCTATGAGACTTTACTTGTCTGTTTTCTTTTGTACTAACCCTGACATCTGAGATAAAAATTTTGGGTAATGAAAATGTTTGGTGATGAAAAGGATATTAGATGTCACGATACCTTTTAATAGTGCTAGTCTCTCAGGAAAAACAGCTTTAAATCAATGCCTGATTTTTAAAAATGTATGCTGAATGTTTGCGCTTATGCCCTTTGTTTTATCCCTATATTTGGTCTTATTGTGAAGCCTGGTTAATCTTAATCTTGCTAAATGTTTGATATCTTCAGATGATTGGATTAGGTTATTTTTGTCTTTCAGAAGGGGTATGGGAGTTTTCTTGTTTTTAATGTGTAACACAAGGACAATTTTAATTGCGATTTAAATGAAGGGAGAATGGAGGCCCAGAATAAGACTTCTGAGTGAAAGTGTCAGAATGTTTGTTTATTGATTTTTAAAAAATACATATTTTGCACTGGCCATTCTGCTGTTGTACAGAATTTTTTTTTTTGCTGTCATTCAACTTTATGCTCTGGTAAAACTATAAATAAACTTGTTTGTAAAAAACAATTCTGGTTTTGAAGTATATGTGTTTTCTATTTCTGGTGTTTTTTATTATTTTAATTCCTTCTGCTTAATTTAATTTCATTCAGTGTCTTGAGATTGACTTTTTGCCACTCAAATATTACTTTCAGAGTCAAGACTCTAGAGCAGTGTTTTTCAACCTTTTTTGTGCAAAGGCACACTTTTTTCATGAAAAAAATCACGAGGCACACCACCATTAGAAAATGTTAAA